CGGATCCACTACGGTGTTTCCCCAACGGCGTAGGTTCGTCGGAGAAGGTAGCACGTCGAGGGTGGACGCGAGAAGAAATTTCAAATCCTTACCAGTACCACCGTACAAAAGGGATTTCCATGAAAGGTCCTGCCACATCACCGATGTCCACTCCAACTACTTGCCTTGTGCCTGAAGAGTCTTCAGCCTCAAAATCTGCTCCTGTGCGTTGATCTCCTCAAATGTTTGAAGGAGATCCTTCCTCGGGGGTTTGGAATGCTGCTTCGGAGCACGAGCACCCAATCCTGCACGATGACTTGACGATGACGGTGGACGGAGAGTCCCTGAACCTACTGATGCCTCTGCACACTCCAGCTCTATTGTCGCCGCATACCGCTTTGTCAGCTTCGCATCCTTACTCCGACGCAGAGTGTACAGCGCCCTCATGCACGCGTCCCCACTCGATCGAAGAATGTGCCATTTGATGGACTGGCACTTTTTCCACACTGTAGAAGGGTAGTGGAGGCGTAAGCCGAAGCGTTTGCAACTGCGAATAAAAAGAATGGCAGAGTTTGCACATCGAGGTAGGCCTGACCATTTTTTCAGAAATGGTAGTAAACACATAAAAGGCAGTTCACGTACAAAACCTTGTGTGAGTTCAAGAACCTGGAAAGACCAAGAAAGCTTGGGCACTACAAGATGGTGGTAAAGCCATAGCTTGTGGTAGTCTTGAAGCCAAGAGCCATCCACTTTTTGCATGAGAGATACAGTGAGTTGACGGATGTCTTCCCGCTGGGTCTGCTCAGTGCAATCAGCATGCATCCTTCGCCCCAGGAACTTGAACTTTTCGGTGTCAATGAAAGCGATCTTCCTCCCTGACATCGTCAAGCAGGGATCATACGGTTTGTACCGGCCATCTACAAGCTTTGCTGCCCTGCTTTTGCATTGGTGCGGCGCCGCCTGCATACATTGGGTCCACGAGAGAAAGTCCTCCGTGACCACAATGAGTTTTTGACAACCTGCACTAGATTTGCTATAGAGGCCTAAGTCATCAGCAAAAGCTGTTTGGGACACTTGGAAAGGGGCAGATTTAAAATCATAGAAGAGGCAACTTAATTCAGGGGCTGAAAGTGAGTCCAGCAGAAGCTGGAAACAATTATTGAAAAGGACCGGGGACAAGGGGCACCCCTGGAAAACACCAATGTTGTAATTAAAAGTGGGAGTGTGTGGTTGTACGACGAAAGCGCAAAGACTGTCTTAGTAGGAAAAATAGATTTCCTGAATTGCAAAGGAAGGCCGTAGTGGGTTAGAGCATACTGTATCAGATTGTGGCGCACTGAACCAAATGCATTCTTCAAATCTATCCACGCAATGCAAATTTGGCGTTTCGCCGTCTTTGCATCACGCATCGCCTCATAACAAAGTGATGTATGCTCTAAGCACCCAGCCTTTGCAGGCAAAAATCCTTTCTTGTTGTCACCGTCGAAGAACTTATTGCCTAGCATATGTTTCAAGCTGCGCTTTGCAACTAAGGTGAAAAGATTTTCCCGGACGTGTTTGCCAGAGCGATCGGTCGGAATTTCGAAGGATCATCAGACACCTCCCCATTAGCCAGGAGTGTGATACACGCTACCTGCCACTGCCTTGGAAAGATCTTGCTCTCCCAAACCCGCCCAAAGATGGTGAAAAGAATGGATTGAAGGGAGAGATAAAGCTTCCAAACTATGTAAGGTATCTTGTCAGGACCCGGTGCAGAGGTGTTGCGACACTGCTTCAAACCATTCTGAAATCCAGTCCATGTAGGGGTCCCCTCATCGACTCGGTGGGTGCAATCCCGTGGCTTCCCTGCACTGGGGCAGGATTCATACGAAGTGGCACGATCCTTGTCTGCATGTGTGTGTTGGAAATACTCAAAGCAGGTAGTGTCAGTGAAAGTGGGTTTGAAATGGTTGGTTGGTTGAAACAATTTCTTTCCGAAGGCATATGCGTCCTTGAGAAAGGCATCCTGGTCCCTCTTGTTCCGGGATCGATCGTCGCACATCTTTTGTTGTTTCAAAAGACACTCGATTTGTTTTCCAATAGAAAATACTCATTTCTGAGCACTGCAGGTACTTCGTTCGGGTTTTTGATCTTACGAAATTGGCGCTTTAAATCACGCCTGTGGGCCCGGAGTTTTTCCACTGCGCGGTTTTTATTTGCATTCTTGTGGTTTGGTGGAGGTGGTTTCTGGTCGAAAAACCAGTGAATGAAGTTCTCTAGTTTGTCCAGAGTCTCTTCGATGTTGGTGTTTTTGAGGTATCAGGTTGGGAAAGAGAGAAAGAGAGAGAGAAAGAGAGAGAGAGAGAGAGAGAGAGAGAGAGAGAGAGAGAGAGAGAGAGAGAGAGAGAGAGAGAGAGAGAGAGAGGGAGAGAGGGAGAGAGGGAGGGAGAGAGAGAGAGACAATGTGTGCGTATGTGTGAGATTTAGAGAATAAGTGTATGCGTGTGTGTGTGTGTGTGTGAGAGAGAGAGAGAGAGGTTTAGAGAATGTGTGTATGGGAATTATAGAATGAGTGTGTCTGTGTGTTTGTGAGATTTAGAGAATGTGTGTTTGTGTGCGGTCGCGCTCGCGCGTGTGTGAATGTAGGTGTACATGAGAGAAGGAGAGAATATCGGTGCGTGAAAGTATGTGTAAGAGTGAGAGAACGTGTGTGTAATGGTGTAAGTATGTGTGGATTTGGCACTTAAGACCCCAGCTCTATTCTATTCTCATTTATACATACCGGAAGTGTCGCTGCTGCATAGCCAGTTTAAAGACTTAGCTGCTTCTCGCCTGCATCTGACTCGTACGCTATGATTCTTTCAGTATTTCTCACCTTGCTCCCTCTTATCTCCAGGCAGCCCGTTTTGGAGCCATCAGTTGCCTGATGATTGTCGTGATACGTGAAACTCAGATTTGCGACACAGCTTCCAATCTCACTAGGATCCTAGAGGGTGGTGGCGTTCCCACGGCGGATGCGGAAAACTCGGCTTCCAGCCGAGTCTCACGCGAACCGTGAATTAAAAAAAAAAATTCCAATCTCTCTTTTGTGTAGATTATATGAATGGATGGATAGGTGGATAAACTAGAAAGAGATAGAGGGCCAATTTGGATTCGTCGTAACTCCAAGTTTCAAGCTACTGCCATCATCAGACAACACTCTGCACTTTGTGCATGGAGCACTTTGCTGGCAATTTTCCAAAACCTACTCCTTTGTATAGAGGTGGACGGATACACAGGCTAGCAGATAGAGAAAGTGAGAGAGTACAAGAAGAATGTTAGACAACCAGAAGTGGAGAGGCTCAGGAACACCCAAACAAAGAGAGATATTATTCTAGGGAGAAGTTACAAAAGGGCAGCATCAGGTTATATACAGTGTAACCAGAGACTAACGACCACCCCTTGCCCCCAGAAAATGCGGTCTTTAGTGGCAGGTGGTCGTTAGTTAGAGGTTTGCACCGCACAACCATAATATTTAGATGAATGCGAGACCGGCCGTGCCTGGGAAAATGGTCTGTAGTACCAGGTTGGTCGCTAGTCACGGTGGTCTTTAGTTATATGTTTTACTGTGCACAATTCCATGACCAACACGCGTGACCAGTGTATTCACAATACCGCACTCACCAGCTTCGCAGGTCGGGCAGCTACACGCGTCCACAGCTGGCACAACATGCTCGCCATCAGCACAGCCCGACAGGTCGACGCTACAATTCCTGTCCAGCTCAACGCAACTAACCGTCCCAAGCCTACACTGGCACCGGCGACATCCGCTAGATGAATCCTTCCACGTGGATCCATGCTCGTGAATAGCATGGAGGGAGTCCTGGCAATTTCCGACATCTGTTTAGCGAAAGCCAGGCACAAAGAACGTCTCAAACATGGTCTTGTGGAAAAAAGGAAATGAAGCTTGATCGAACGATATGCCCTAAATGCAGAACTGCAGATGAGCAGAGAAAAGTTGTAAATGAGCTAAAGGTACACAAAAACACCGTTGCCTCCCCAATCTAGATAACAATTTTACTGGCCATACATGTACCCTAAAACTACCCTCCCCTCAGCTTGGCAACCGTATGGGGTATCGGGGAGCAGTAGTGGTGTACATGTGTGCGTGTACCTACATAATGGCCATGTGCGCGAAAAAACAAATCACCTTCCTGGGCAAAAATACGTTTCAAGGTGAAACTGATCCCTGATGGGAGGGCAAGTGATGGGAGCGCTTCATTTGGCTACCCATGCATGTATCACGTGCATGCACAAGCACAGTGCTGGCAACTGAAATCCGATCTTTGAGCGGTGCGCTCACATCGCAAAGACCCAACACGGGATTGTAAAACTACAAAAAAAAATTAATAGAGACCGCTAGAATGTGAAGGGTCGGATTTCAGTTGCCAGGACTGTAGTTGGTACTGAGATTTAGGAGTCATCATTGTCCTGTTCTTCAAAATAATAATAAATGCTCCAAACTCGATATCCTGGTCGAATTGCTCGGACTAGGCCCAAGGGGCATGCGGATTAGTGGGGTTTTCTGTAATACCAGTAACTACTTACTGGTACCAATGTCCTCTCCGCTAGCCAGATTCGCAAAAGCGCCACTCAGCAGAGAGAGCACCACTAGACAGGGCAGCCTCGACGCATACCTCGTCAGGCTCGTGGATACTCGCCCTACAGTCATACTGAAACTTCCCTAGTCGGAGTACGAGGGAAGTCTACTACTGTTTAGATGAGCGTCCAGAACGCAAGAGAAACCTGAATCGAAATTTAGAACAAAATAAATCAAACCGAGTGAACGCTTTCGTAGCTCCACAGAAACTTTTTGAAGTGCCTCATTCATTCTGACCTTCACCAATAATATACCGTAATAATTATTAATTATTTTCATACCCGAATCTGGGATGAGGCTAGTTCGCGAGAGGGTGCGAACGCTGGCACCGCCAGTGCAGTATGACTACCATCATCACAACAGACTCTGTAGCGTCATTGATTTTCACGATACCAGGCATGTGGGACCCGGGAGCCCAGCAGTCTGTAACTCGTTACGTTAGACGCCAGAGATGAACAGATGTTAGGTTGGGACTTCATGGATGGTAGATCTACTACTGCAGCGTGCAGGCTGAAAACCATCACGGTCGGACAACACAAACGCTACGAAGGAAGCAGCACGTTGTACGGTCTAGACGCATACATTCTGCCGAACTCAGTGAAATCAGCAATCTGCTGCTACTGGTATTGGACAGGTCCCGATTTATAAAAATGTCAACAGTAAAGGATATTATTATTGTCATGTGAATGGCAGCTTGCCAGGGACCAGGGTACTACTAGTACCCGGTGTAGTACTAGTTTGTGCACAGACTCAGTTCCAAGGTCCATAGCGCTGTGCTGATACAGCACGATAGACGTGTGTTGTTCACACCTACCTACTAGTACTGTATTTCAATAGTCATGAAACTGGGTAAACATTCTTGAACTTGACGTAGGTTGGTGAGAGATTCACGTCGATCCCTGATCTGTCAAGAAAATCACACGAGCCTGTCCAGTTTCTCTTGTGTGTGTGTGTGGTCTGCAGTGCTACACTGTAGTCATTAGGAGTAAACAGCTAGTCATGGTCTGGATGACTGCAATGACTATGCACACCGTCTGCCATGCCCACTGCCTGTAGGTAGACAGGTCATATTGGCTAAATTACAATAAACGGGCACAATTTCCAAAAAAAAAATTGTCTATGCATGCATCTACTACGCAAGAATCACCACCAGCCAATTAGGACATGACTCATGAGTCAAAAGTATTGAACGTTTTCGTTCCCTTCTTCTCCAAATACTACAGGAGGAGAATGTGTTGTCTTTGCAGTTGTTTGGCACTGTTCGTCGTGAAGGCGCGAAATAAATCCTTTGATCTCTTGATATTTTCTCTCTTTTTCTTGTCACTTATTGGATTGGCATGCTGTTTTCTTGACTTTTCACATCTATTTTTTTCCTGTCACTTCTACACATACATGTAACTGGCACTATTAATCGGAGTGATGTACATGTATCTCTGAACTTCTTTTCCTTATAGTTGTAGTCTCTTGGCTTAGTTCCATCATTCCCTGTAGTTTTTTTTTAGAAGAAGGGAACGAAAACGTTCAATACTTTTGACTTAGGTCCTAATTGGCTGGTGGTGATTCTTGCGTAGATGCATGCGTAGACAATACATTTTTTGTAATATTTTCTGCCTCCGTCCTAGTTTCAAACAGGCAATTTAATTTTTTTTAACACAAACACACCATTTAAGCTGAGACATACACCACCTACACATACCTCTTTCCCATATTTCAACTAACATATACACACCAATTTTCAATCTGCGGACAGCATGCTGTTTCGTTCTTTTTGACCTCATCAGCGCAGCACAGAGGAAATGAGGCCGAACCTGATAGCAATGAAAATAAAAATTTCTAATCAGGCCCGAACGTACCTTGCCAGAGTGCTCAAACTGACAAGTCAGTGAGCTCTGCGCAATGCCAACAGCAAAGGCACTACCCCACATGACAGTGCTCAACCACTACAAGAGCAGGAGCGAAAATACTCAAAATCTGCGGACAGCATGCTGTTTCGTTCTTTTTGAACTCATCAGCGCAGCACAGAGGAAAAGAGGCCGAACCTGATAGCAATGAAAATAAAAATTTCCAATCAGGCCCGAACGTACCTTGCCAGAGTGCTCAAACTGACAAGTCGGTGAGCTCTGCGCAATGCAAACAGCAAAGGCACTACCCCACATGACAGTGCTCAACCACTACAAGAGCAGGAGCGAAATTACTCAATCTGCGGACAGCATGCTGTTTCGTTCTTTTTGAACTCATCAGCGCAGCACAGAGGAAATGAGGCCGAACCTGATAGCAACGAAAATAAAAATTTCCAATCAGGCGCGAACGTACCTTGCCAGAGTGCTCAAACTGACAAGTCGGTGAGCTCTGCGCAATGCAAACAGCAAAGGCACTACCCCACATGACAGTGCTCAACCACTACAAGAGCAGGAGCGAAAATACTCAATCTGCGGACAGCATGCTGTTTCGTTTTTTTTTGAACTCATCAGTGCAGCACAGAGGAAATGAGGCCGAACCTGATAGCAATGAAAATAAAAAAATTCCAATCAGGCCTGAACGTACCTTGCCAGAGTGCTCAAACTGACAAGTCGGTGAGCTCTGCGCAATGCAAACAGCACACCAATATGTTAACTTTATCACTCCCTTAGTATTGACTCGCATAGATTTTTGCCATACCTAAGCAGTCAAAATTAATATTCCTGCATATTTCACTCCTTAGGGCTATATTGACTGCTTATATTTGACTGCTTAGGGGTTGCGCAGGTGAACGGTGCCTAGTGCAGCATTGTCACTGCATGAGTAGGTGGCGGTGCAACGGTTGTGCAATCATAAAACCGGGATTCATGAGGTTATCGTTCTGGAATTTGAAATACGGACTGCTTGTCGTGATAAATCTAATATTGACTTCGTACTTGGTCAGTATAGGCAAGAGTCCATAAACACTCTTGGTATAGGAAATAAAAACCTCGTAAAAGACCTCGGCTTCGCCTCGGTCTTTTACTCGGCTTTCATTTCCTATATTGACCTCGTACTCAGTCAATATTACAATGTAGATACTTCTCAGTGTCAATATACATGTAGTTATTGTCTTCATACATGTAGTTCAGTAAGTAGCTACATGTATGCAATGGATGTTTGGTTTGTCATTCATTACCCTGATGATGAGCCAGGCCCGAAAATTTGGTGTAATGGTAATTTTAATTTTGGTTTGAATCGCAGTGAAGAGACCGTTTTTGGAGTTGAGAAGTGAAATTTAAAATTTCAAATCGACAGTTATGACTACTACTGTATTCATTTCGTCTGGGGGTCAAGGCACAGGGAAGTTGTCATACTTGGGTGTGAGCCTACATGTACATGTACATGTACATGTTTCAAGGCTTAGTACAGCTCGACTCTGTCTCTTAGCTGAGTGCGGAGGACCCACATATTGATCTGCTGAGCTGAGTAATTGGGTATTGCGGTCAGATGGCATGCAGAAAATGAAAAAAAGAAAATGTACATGTATATTACACGCATCACTGAGCAGATTTACCACGCGTCTGGTTCAGCTACGCGTCGTGGCAACGTTTCTCTGTGTCCCTGCCAAAGGACATGATATTTTGTATATTTAGTAAGTAAAAAAAACAAAGAGGTTCCAGGCTTTCCAAGAGAGTGTTCAATACCGAGCGGCAGAGCTAGTTCAAACAATAAGAGGACGAAAAAAGTTAAAACGCTTTTTTCGTCCTCTTCTTATTATTAATTTTATGGAATTTGTCTTGCGAGAAATGAAAATAGTATGTGTCGCTGGAGGCTTGCTAATGGTTTTGGATTTGACACCATCGTGTAACAGCACTGTAACGAATTTTCCTATTCGAAGAGACAGTGTTTGGATAATTTCACACTTCCCTTGGCTTTGAAATTCAAACTAAATTGCAAAAAGTGATAGGAACGACCTGTTGGCAACGGCGCTCGGTTGGAAGCCATTTTTGATCGCTTCCATGGCAACATCGAATGCAGGAAGAACTTTCCGGAACATTTAATCCACAAATTCTGTTGGTTGTACCTCTCGAGTATTTCCTATTTCACATTCTGTTGGGCATTGTACGACGCATTTGTTAGCAATTTGCTTGGTTACCTTGTTTTGAAACGGCCACTCTATCTCTCGGTTTGGAGCGACCGACAACGAGCATCATTACCATTGTGGCTAGAACAACAGCAGGCAAGGCGAAATGGGACATTTGCAGATCATGTGTGAATGTGCTTTGTTTGAAGTTTTATTTTACCGCGCTGTCTTACAAAATAGATTTACCTGACCATCAAGTTCCAAATAGCCGAGCAACATGGGACATAGAAGCCTATGAACAACTGTATGGTTACCGGACAAATGGACAAATTCTCACTACAGGTGGAATCCTGATAATTCGAACCTCCAAATGCCAGGAAAAACTTCTAATTATCCGGACATTCTAATTATCCAAACATGACCCCACAACACAATATGTATGGCAAAATGCTCCCATGGTCACGCAGAGTTGCGCTATGGACCTTAGACACGGGTTTCACGGATACTGAACTGACCAGCACAGCCTGCTCATGCAAACTGAACTGATCAGTACAGTGTACGGTGAACTTCGAATTACGCTTTGCTAACTTCGAATTATCAGCACAAATCCCACACATTTTCTATGTAAGTGGAATCCGTGAAACTTCGAATTAACCTGACATGTCAGGTTCGAGGTTCGAATTATCAGAATTTTTTATGTTGGAATCGTATTGACAGAAATCGGTCCTGGAAAAACTTCTAATTAAGCGGTATGTTCGAATTAAGCCATATTCGAATTATAAGGATTCCACCTGTATTATCTTCGATCACAGTACATTTTCCCTTCCCACCATTCAATCAAGCTGAAAACGTTCTTACCCTTCTATTCTTTCCCAGCATTCTGTCTTCTTTTCGTAGAATGTAGCGCTCCGTGTAATTCTTTCAAAGTGGAAACTGTCCAAAGCTAATGTCTCCACTGGTCTTGTCCAGATGCGTCATGCAGCTATTGCATGTCCGTACCTACATGGCAGTGTTATCGATTACAAAAGCCAGTCACAGTCATAATGCAAGTGATCGATACGGAGACAACGATTTTAAAATAGGAAGACAGCGAACTAATTCTGCAGTCATCGCTTCACTGCAACAAAGTCATGGGAGATTTCCAAAATCGATTTTCAAGTCAAGGACGCCAAAAGAGCGACAGCACCACAGAATTAGCCCACTGATGAATGTGTCATGAAAATCGATTTTGGAAATCTTTGTTGTTGTGCAGCGACGAGAGCAGAAATTGTTCTCTTTATTGCAATTTCAAGTCAACGGAGGATGTACCCAGTGTGCTGACAGTGCTCAACACCTCGGAGGCAGAGCGTGAGACAAAACAAGGGCAATCAAGGCTTGTTTGCTGCTGCCTTTAAATTTCATGCTTTCTCAATCATCAGGCAACACTGATAGTGATAGATGTCATAATGAGATGACATAATTATTTTAAGGAAGGAAACAATTTACATATGTTTCGTAAAATAAAGCAATCCGTAGTGTACCAAAAGTACTTTCCAGCCTATAAGAAAGGGAAAGAGGCGGATTTATATAGAAATTCTTCAGTTGACTTTGGCTTTTAAGCCGATATGTAACAGGTGTATTCTATCAGATATGAGAAGCCGTGAACGCAGCGGTGTTTCAAATTCAAAGCGGTAGGTTTGAAGCTGCAAATAAGCGTTGAATACAAACAATGTAGAGAACGAAACAAGCTTCTCCAGCTGGGTGGGTTTGTGACGATTGAAGATACAACATTAGTTGTACATCTCAGATAAGATGTTACCGATAGCAAGGAGTTGTTGTCTAAACCACACCATTCAGTGTCATGTTCAGCACACTTCCCCACTCGGTAATTGAAAACTGTAGAATGTAGTGTTGGTTACTATTATGGTCTAGCTTCTACCAGTATTCTGGACAGCTCCCATCTCCAGACTCGCTTCTTCACCCACAGGTCGGGGCACATGTATTCGATCCTGAAGCAGTAGATGTGTTCAATTGTTTCACCATTCTTTCCGCGTAAACCAATCTTGCCGTACGTGTTCAGCACCGCTCGGTCCTCCTCCGCTCCAACGTTGGACACATAATCCCAGCCTACGTAGTGAGACTTAAGCGCGTCGACAAACTCTTGCATTGCGCCAAATGACAGTTCAACGTTTCCAGGAATCTTGAGCGTGTACTCAGCAGAAGGTGGAAGGAGGTGATATCTGGGTTCGAAGTCAGGTGTCCACACCACCCTCATGTAGTCATAGACTGTGCCAAAGTGTGTGCTGTAGTCGAAAGCGTTCTTAAAGAATATCGAAGCCATGTTCTCAGTTCCATACACATCAGCGCTTGGTGAACTGGAATGCTTCTCGGCTTCTGGATTTCCTAGTTGAACAGTGTGTAGTCGACGCGCACCTGGAGGCCTGAATATAGTTCGCTGCCTGTACATTTCTTCGTGAATCTCATCCCACGTACTATGAAATCGCTCTTCCCTCGCACCCTGGAGACCATCAGCGCTCGTACCCTGGAGCCGCCGCGAGCAGTAGTCTGACTCGCATGGCGAATGGAACATTCCATTTCGAAATCTTTCACCTGGATTATATTAGCTAAATCCAGTAGCAGTTCGCATCCCAGACCTTTGAACGCCGACCCGTGCGTCCACGGTCCAGAAGGGAACCGCATCCGCCGGCCTGCTTCCCGATATTCAGGTTCCTTTGTCTGCACCACATCTGCTGGTTTACCCGCCATGGTTAAGTCCTGCCGCTGGACTGTGGCCTTTACAGGGTTCGAGGGAACCTTTGGTTGCTCTATTGCATCCATGATGTTAGTAGGAATCCGTTCTGGAAGACAAACAGCAGGGGAATAAAGCCTAGAGGTTATAGTTTCATATGCATACACAGTTGAGGGAGAGGTAGGTAGAAAGAGGAAGCTGTTTTGTCACTCGGATTTTCCCGCTATCATGATCAACAGACAACTAGCGGCCCACTATAGGCAGCCGGAACACCAAAGGCATCCAGGTGAGAATGGGCAAAGAACGATCTTTACGTGCAGGTGAAAAGCCTGTGAACTGTTAGCGACGGAACACCAGTTCCAGCGGTGCTCAAAAACTGATTTTTTTAGCAACATAACAGATATTTACACTTACGACTACACACACAAGCAAACGTTGCTGCTGCAATAGCACTCAATGGCAATGCACAATGTACGGAGCTCGTCATGACTAGATATCCTGTTGTCTGATGGTTGCCAATGCGTGAAACTACGGGAGACAGAAATTCAGGTTTTCCCTTATCTAAACATATTGTTCAGAAAGTGGTAGACATCACGCAACTACATTGTAAATGACGTATATATGACGTATTGTAATTATGGCATGGGCGTAATACGGATTTTGATACACACGGACATTGTGGTAGTATCCTAAGAGTCTCCTCACCGACCAAACATATCCGCTGCTACTCTGGTTAGTTTCACGAGCTACGTCGGGAAGCCCAAAGTAGCTATGGATATGCTTCTTTTGTGATGAAAGTCTAGTACTCTTTGTGATTATCGGTTCTATCTAGCTGCTGCTTTGTATCTCTCTAACGTTTCTTGTCTCGCCCTCTGACTCTAACTGACTTTCTCTCCACTTCTCCCTCTCACATATTCACTCACTCACGCTCACACACACATACACACATCCACACAAACACACACTGGCACGCACACACACGCGCGCATGCACAGTCTTATCTCTCTCTTTCCGCACAGAATTTTTAAATGTCTACAACAAGCTCCCTTGTCATAGAAAGAAAAAGCACATCAGTTTGGTGAGAAGGCATTATAATTCATTGTGTTGCCGGTCCATTTGATTGTGCACAAGCACAGCAAAACATGATTAGAAAAGAACGTACCTTATAATTGTAGCAATAGACTGATAGGGCCATTCGGTTGATTCAGGGATAGAGTAGCTCCTTCTTTGACTGCATACTATTTAATACTCGAAATAATCATGACTGATTGTACACACAGTGACACAGCCCTGTCGGTTCACTTTTGATGTACGCAAGGCCATTCAGCACCAAGACTGATATCACCTGATCACGTCTTATGAGAATGCATGTGCATTTTGTCAGTAGTCCCACTGTACACACCATGTACAAAATACATGTTCATGACAGTACATACAGGCAGTGCAGACGTGTTCCTCCGCATTAATTTTACAATGTCATGTATACGCTGTCCAGCATACACGTACTTTTGAAGTACATGTACATGCACACTCGCAGAAAGGTCTGCTAACAAAACATCGGAGTCATTGTTTGATCTACATAACATCACTCGTTCAGTGCTAACACTCTGAGTGTGTGAGCGATCGCCATGACCACACGGCACAGGGAGCTTTTACCGAGCCAGCGCTGTGTCAGCTCAGCTGTGCATGTGTGCATCAGAAGTGGCGAGCATGCAATGCATGCATACACACCCACTGGTTTCGTGACAACGCCACGCACTTAAAAGTGCAAAGCAAAGACACTTTTGTCTTTCCCGCTGCTGCAGTGCTAGACCGCGCTTGAAAGAGTGAAGGCGTCAAACATCCGTTATACTGATTTTGGGATCCTCTCAGATATGTGACTGGTGTTGTCGCCCGCGGGTATACCGGGTAGGCTCATGGTATGCAAGCCGGTGACTGGTGCGTCTATTTACAAAGTCATGTACATGTTGTATGTATGTAGCAGCTGTTGGCCCTAGGCCTACAGAAACTGGTCGAGTCATTGATTCTATAAAAATTAATAATAATTATACGGGTACTTGAGGAGTAGAATGAAGATATCATCCCATAGTACGACTTTAGCGATTACTTGCTCTAAAAAATAATTGTTTGTCAATCTACGAGTACATTTCATTGACATTGTTCATGGCCACTAACTAATAGCTAGCCTGCAAAGACGCAAGTAGCCCTTTCCCAAAGGTGCTCTTTTAATTCGCACTTAGTGCTTTTCGCGTCCCTCAAAATACGCTGAAAAAGTGCTCTTTTTTCATTGAAAACAGGCAAAAAGTGCTCTTTTTTCAGGGAAGCATAGCCATGATACAGGTTCAGATATGAACCCAAGCTGAGAAATGAATACGCACTCTTCCATTTATGGGTCCACGAAAGGCAAAACAGGAAGTAAAGTTCAAAAAACCCACTTTTTACAGCATTGTATACAAAGTACAAGCTTCACCAACTTACTTGTTGCCCTCCAAAAAAGCGGCGTGCTAAAGTCCATCGAGCACTCGGAAACTGTGATCGCATGCATGAGCAAACAGATTTTAGCACTTTTTCAGCTAAAAAAGCTCAAAAATGGCGATATTCACCAAAAAACGCAATAAAGGGCGAAAGAAACGGGCTTTTCCAAAAAGGGCGAAAAAAGGAGCGAGCACCTTTGGGAAAGGGCTGGACGCAAGTCCACACAAGGAGGAGGACGAATCGGGGCGGGCGCGAAGCCATGAAAGCTGTTGTACAGGGTAGGCAGTCTAGGCAGACCAGTGATAATTCTCTTGTGGAGTTCTGCAAATTTCTGTGGCAGTCTGGGCTGCTTATTGTTATAGATTGACCTATTGTTAATATTTGTCGTACGATCTACGATCTACGTTCTACTACGTGTGTCGTTCTACGTTCCTTTGATGCATGCATGACGAAGAGTGACGATGTCTTACCTCATTATGAATCAGTCTACTTCTGCATTACGTCTGTATGGCCGACGTGTGTCTTACTTTGGTACGAGCTGACGAGTCCTATGCTGTCGTGTCATAGCGCCATTAGTAGTACTCATTAGTGCCACGACAGCACTGACGTGTCTCTGCTGCTTATCTCTCCATGATTGCCCTTTACATGTTCACGCGTCTATAATTTTCCTAGAACAAACCAGATTGTGTTTCCTGCTGTGGTGTACGCAAGTTGCATGGACTGAATATTGCATGCGTACGTTTTAACACTTACATGTATGTGGACTTTGGAGGTTTTCATCCTGCCGGATACTATTACTAGCCCTTGATCTCTGTCTCTCCCTGTTTGATGATCTGCATGTAAATTATTTTTTTACATGAAAAATTAATTTTTTTCTGCTCAACCCTCGTTGAAGATGTGCACTCTACTGTTCAGGCAACAAACTAACTTTTTAAATGCTGGGCTCTTATGTATTGTTTTCTCAAACTTAGTACATTGTACTTTGAGGAGGATCTCCTTTCAGGAGAATTGAGAAGGCGAATCGATCCAAATGAAAACTACTCAAAGTATAATTATTAGTATTATAAGATCTTATGAGCAACAGCGGTTTTATAGTTCGGAGAATTCCCCACTCTGTATCTAAACTGCAGAGTGAAGTGTTCGTTAATATTATGGTCTGGGTTCTACCAGTGGTCTGGGTTCCACCAGTATTCTGGATAGCTCCCATCCCCATGAATCCTTCGTCCACTGCGCGATTGTGTGCTCAAGCGTAAAGCAATAGATGTGCTCAATTGTCTGTCCATTCTTCCCGCGTAAACCGATCTTGCCGTACGTATTCATCACTGTTCTTTCCGTCATCTCCGCTCCAACGTTCGACACATAATCCCAACCGATGTAGTGAGACTTAAGTGCGTCGACAAACTCTTGCATTGCGCCACATGTCATTTCAACGTTTCCGGGAATCTTGAGCGTGTACTCAGCAGAAGGTGGAAGGAGGTGATATCTGGGTTCGAAGTCAGGTATCCACACCACCCTCATGTAGTCATAGACTGTGCCAAAGTGTGTGCTGTAGTCGAATGCGTTCTTAAAGAATATCGGTGCCATGTTCTTTGTACCATCCACATCAGCGATTGGTATGGTAGAATGCTTCTCGGCTTCCGGATTTCCTGGTTGAACAGTGTGTAGTCGATGAGAACGAAGAGGCCTGAACACGTCCCGGCATCTGTCCTTGACTTCCTGTATCTCATCCAATTTACTGTGAAGTAGCTCATCGCTCGTACCCTGGAGCTGATCAGCGCTCACACGCTGGAGCTGATCAGCGCTCGCACTCTGGAGCTGATCAGCGCTCGTACACTGGAGCTGATCAGCGCTCGTACACTGGAGCATCTGCGGAGCACCAACACAGCCGGGCATCTGAATTGCATGTCGAATGGAACATTCAATCTCAAAATCTTTCTCCTGGATCAGACTAACTAAATCCAATGGCACTTCGCATGATATTCCTTTGACGGCCTCGGCGTGAGACCAAGTTCCAGAAGGAAACCGTTTGCCGGTGCCTGCTTCTGCAGATTCCGCTTTCTTTGCCTGTACACCTTCTGCAGGTTTATCCTCCACGGGCAAGTCCTGCCGCTGGACTGTTGCTTTTGGAGCATTCGGGAGAACCTTTGCTTGCTCCATTGCATCCATGTCGTTAGTAAGAATCCGTTCTGGAAACAAACAGCAGGGAAATACAGCCAAAGGGTGAAAGTTTTTTTAAATTTGTTTTGTCATATAAGGGTGATAGTTTCATATGCATACACAGTAGAGAGATAGAGAGAGAGGTAGGGAGAGGAAGCTGTTGTGTAACTAGGAGTTTCACGCAACACACAATTAGCGGTCCACTACAGGCAGCCGGAACACCAAAGGCATCCAGGTGAGAATGGTGAAAGAAGGAACATTACGTGCAGGTGAAAAACCTGTGAACTCTTAGCGACGGAACAGCAGTTCCCTGCACGAAAAGAGTGTAGAATTCTAAAATAATTCACAAGAAAACCCTTAGCGCTGGCGGTATTGGCGCTGCGAAAAAACTAAAATTGGCAACGTAACAGACATGAAAAACCCTACACACACCATCCTCAAATCAAGTGGTCTCTTCGCTGCAAATTGCAATATCTCAATCAAATTTTCATTCTGGTGACAGGTCAGTCCCCGAAAGCCATGTTGCCATTGTTGGTGTCTTCCTGGTTTGCCAATCCAGAGTGCCCCCCCCCCCCCCAGAAGTGTACAGAAGGAAGGCGAAGAGAAGAGGGAGGCCAGTGGAATGTGTCCTTGTGATGGTGGTATGAGTGACGGTCAGTGTTTGTCGCAGAATGTGGTCTTTTTTTTAATATTAAGTTTCATTTGCGGAGAGGAGTATGTCGGAGAGACGAAGCGATGTGTCAGTAAGCCATTCCAGGAGCATTACAGAGAAGTGAAAGCCCGTGCACCACAAAAGCCCTGGGAAGAGCACTACGCATTGCACCAACCACTACAATAGTTGTAGATCCACCGCGGCATTTATTCCCTTCACTTCACCATCCATACTCACAAAGGAAGTGTACGTGAACCGCCGAATAAGAGAGGCCAGCCACATATCCAGACGCAATCCGAAGGTGAATAATGATCGTGGTTGGGTGCTGCTTGACAACTGGTAAAGGGAAATTTTGAAGATGATCACTGTTGCTGTTGCCACTGTCCTGTCCTGTTGTCATGTGTGCTTGTTCACGCCGTTGTTATACTTCAGCAAAATGTTGTAGCACAAGTGCAGTTTGGTGATAGAATCTCATTCCTCTTTTTGTCATGGTCCCACCACTAATCACACCTTGCTTTCAGAGGCACATTGTGTTTTTGTGTGTGTGTCCGTGTGTGTGTGTGTGTGTGTGTGTGTGTGTGTGTGTGTGTGTGTGTGTGTGTGTGTGTGTGTGTGTGTGTGTGTGTGTGTGTGTGGTGTGTGGGTGGGTGGGTGGGAGTGTTGATGCGATTGTGCGTATGAGTATGTGTCTGTGTGTGTTGGAGTGTGCATGTGCGTGGACATTTGTGTGTGTGTGTGTGTGTGTGTGTGTGTGTGCCTGTGGCCAAAGGATGGTATACTTTTTCACGTGTATGTATTGTGTAGTTTCGTTCCACTTTGTGCTGCCTGATATACAATGTAGGTCCACCTCGCTTGTTTTTCTCCTCAATCCTGATGATGACTCCTGGCCGAAAATTAGATTGAGATAATAAGTTTAATTTGCAAAGAAGAGACCACTTGATTTGAGGATTGTGTGTGTAGGGTTTTTCATGTAATGAAGTGGATGCAGTGGGGCTTGCGGACACAGTCATGTATGACTCCTGATATACAACGCACACCATTGTGCAGGAGTATTAGTTCTTTATATCAGAAGTTCGTTATAGCAGAAATGCACTCACACCATACAAGCAGCAAGTCATGACTGGTCCACTAATTTATGCATGCACTTTGTTTACATGTGGCCCTATAAGATTTGGTTTAACCAGCAAGGGTCAATTAATTTTATTTTGTATGGTTTCAAACAGGGACATGGACAACGGTTCGCTCTAAGTATCACGAAATTCGCTATATGCGAGTTCCTTATAAGTGGATTCGACAGTACACTTACGACTACACACCAAAAAAGGCGTTGCTGCTGGAATAGCACTCAATGCACAATGTACAGAGTTCGTCATGATTAGATATCCTTCTGTCTGATGATTGCCAATGCGTGAAACTACGGCACGGGTAATTACGTAACAGAAGTAGTTCAGGTTTTCCCTTCTCTAAACAATGTAAGTGACGTATACATACATGTTAATGACGTATACATGACGTATAATATTTATAACATAGACTTTCATACACATGGACATAGTCATTGTAGGAGGGCCTTACCAACGTGACGTATCATATCCGTTGCTATTCAAAGGAGTTTCACGGGCTACATGTACGTCATGAAGCTCAAACTCAAACTCAAAGCAGCAACGTATGTGTTTCTTGTGGTGATGAAAGTCTAGTACTAGTACTCTTGTGATTACTGTAAAACCGGAAAGTCTAACGAGTCACAAAGTCTAACGTTTTACAGACCAATTATTTTTCGTTATTTGAAAAATACGTTATCGCTAGAAGTCTGTGTAAACATGCGCATCCAGATAGGCGGTCAGGTAGCCATCGTTAAACTTTCTGCACGTAATCATGCCAAAACTACACAACGTTAAACTTTTTGGTCGTTAGAGTTACAAGTAGACTTTCCGGTTTTACAGTATCGGTTCTATTGAGCTGCTTCTTTGTATCTCTCTGCTGAAGTTTCTATTCTCGCCCTCTGACTCGAAGTCTATCTCTTTCTCTCTACCTCTCCGATCCCACTCACAGACGGACGCACACACATACACCACGTAGGATGATTCATATAATTTTTTTTGTACGCCAGTCACCAGAGAAGCACACAAACCTGCAAATCCATTGGATGTGCAACCACCGTTCAGGCACACACGCACACATCCGCGCACATACACACACACACCACACACACACACACACACACACACACACACACACACACACACACACACACACATACACACACACACACCACATGCACACACACACAGAGTCTCTCTCCATTCTGCCTACATTTTAATGTGTGCAACATTCTCTGGCTTACATGTACGAGAAAGAGCACAACATGTATATTTGGTGAGAAGGCATCAGAATTTTTTTGCCGATCCATTTCATTATGCACAATAGAGCTCAGCAAAACAGGATTTCAAAACAACGTACCTTAAAATCATATCAATACACTGACAAAGCCAAGGGGTTGCTTCAAGGGTAGAGTAGCTCCTTCTTTGACTGCAAAGTCTGCATACTACTGCTCGAATACACACACACAGCCTTGTCAGTTCACAAAATTGTAGTACGGCAGTATACTGATGCACATAAGACCATTCAGCAGTAAGAATGAGATGACTTTGGAGTACAATGCACGTACAAAGTCATGTACATGTATTTGAAAAGCAGTCCAACTGTACAATCTGTACATGCAGTGCGTTATGCTTCCAAGTCGGCTGTTTGCTGGCGTGTCCCTCCGCATTACTCACGCCGTCCCCGTATACATGTCCAAGCACACTCACATAAACTGATAAAGGTCTGCGAAACGCACAGGATAGAGAAGTCGTTGTTTGATAACACACGGTGTGAACGATCACCATGACATCAGTAGTGGCGAGCGAGCAATGCATGCATGCACACCCACTGGTTTCGTCACAACGCCACGCACTTAGCAACATGGTGCACTCTTAGTAGCACAAGTAGAGTGCACCCGTTTTAGTACTAGTACTACTAGTAGTAAGTAGAGTACACGTAGTACCAAGACTAGAGTCCATGGACTCTTGGTAGTAATCTGCTGGACTGCCAAGCAAGGCAAGGACATCTTGCTGTAATGCTAACCTCCTACACTACTAAACTAGAATTAAAATACTAAAACACATTAATTTTGTATCTTGTAAAGAGTGAAGACGTCAAACAACCGTGGTATAGACAGATAGTGAGTGATCCTCTCAGCTGCGCGTTGTCTCCCGCGGGTAGGCTCCTTTTATGTACGCTCATGCCATGGCGCCATGGTATGCATGCTGATGACTTGTGCGTCTATTTCTGTAGCAGCTGTTGGCCCTCGGCGTTTTCTAGTACTAGTAGTAGTGGCAAGTAGTACGAGGTCATTTGGCTTTTTTAACATAGTTGTAAAATGACGTTTTTTCAGCCACTTCTAGGCAAGCTACGTCCAAATAAATTGTTGCAAGTGGAGGCGCTATCCATCATGCCTGTTGTCTAAAAAAATGGGAAAGATCCCACTTTGGAAAGTGTCTTGAATCATGTCCTACTTTCATAGTATTCTCAGGGCTCAAATAATTGGTGTGTCATTTTTTAACAAATTTGTAAAATGGCATCACAAACTGGGATATTCGGTCATCAATGTTCGGAAGTTGATAGATATCACTTCAAGGAATGCTAGTGGATGAAAATTAATCTGTCAACTGCATTGTATGCTGCCGCAAAGCCGTGTTTTCGTATTTGTAACTAGTGGCTGTGTCATACGGTAGAATTGGATAGGTAGCATAGCATCGCAGCCATGTTTTCGTTCTCACAGAGTGTATTTCGTGACCTACTGTTCTTCATTGTTGTCTTTAGTGATGGCAAGACGGCCTGACGTCGTCCAAAGGCCCTGCGGAAGCAATTCACTGCCCTCCTCGTTCATTCAGGGGCTTATTTTACACATTTTACACAAACTAGCAAAGCACCCACCACTAGGTATACCGATGTGGTAGGGAGAACAAAATTATACGCACCAAATTTTCTGGTCAATGTTGATCTACGATAAACTGGCTCTCATTTGCCTTCACCCAATTTTCGATACAGCCATCCGGAGCAGAGAAACAGCCAGAAGAAAAGCAAATTTTACACATTTGTTAAAATGTTAAAAAATGCCAAATCACTTCGTACTAGGCCGTAGTTGTAGGAACTGTTGCGTTGCAGGTATTGATTTTTATAAAAAAATACGTTTAGATTCTTGGTTGGAGGTAATATACATGTACGTCCCCATTGGCATTGTTTCCATCTTCCTGTCAGATGCAAAATTTTGTTTTACAAACTGTACATTCTGCCTCTTTTCATGTACGCTGCCGTTAGCTGGTACATGGTGTGGCTTGTCCTCGGTTCTCGCTGAGCGTCTCGAGAATCCACCATAGAAAACTTCTTCGTATCCTGTTTACTCTACCCCCTCTCTACTCGTCTGCTTCCCTGTATGTCCTTGCAAATGCTTGCCCACTGTCTACCCACCGTCAAAAAATAATTTGCACTTTTGGTCACAAATTTAAACTAGCTCTACATCCTCCTCATCTTAACGTGTATAACTGGTTCCGTATCACAGATGGCTCCGAGACAAGATGCTCTGTTGCCCTCCCCTTGGCTAAAACGTCCTCCCTTGTACACTCTCCACTCTTTGTTGCCTACTCTGCTTGGCTTGCGCTGCCCGCTACTACGCGCAGTGCCAGTACCCTGGACGCATTTTAATCTGCTCACTAGATTTACCATCACCTGTCCCTGCTTCTCCGTCTTGACCATTACTATTCTTCTTTAATTCACCATGGTTGGTTAACTCACACACACCTAATGGCGGGCAATTCCTGGAATTCTGCTCCATTTCTTTATCCACATACCAAACATGCATGAAACTTACCAGAAAAAGTATCGAATTCTGCCAATTTTTCTGCCGGCATGATCCGTCGGTCCCTATTGCCAACTCTCGCAAAGCATTTACAGGAAGGTGATTTGATGATTGGGCACCGCGGAGGCACATGATCGCCGACCGCAACAATACAAAAGCCAGTCGACACCGGATATAATGTTATTGTCTCGGCATACATGTACAACGTCGTGTCCCCATTTGACATGAGACCACACAGGCGCTTGACAAATCTGGAGCACTCTGGCGAACAACAACCGGCCGTGGTGAAAACTAGTGGAGTAAATGTCCCACCGTCGACAGTGATGATACGCGCAGCATACTCCAGCTTATTCTTCCTCTCATGCTCCGGCAATCGCCGTATCGCTGATGCAAGAGCGACAAAGAGGAACTGTGGGGAGCACGTGGGAATGGTGTTTTTTGACTAGGCTATTGCATTCGACACCGTATGGCATCGTGGCTTACTTGCCAAGTTGGAGGTCACTTTCCGGGTGGAGGATGCTGCCTTGCGTTGGATATCATCGTATCTGTCTGCTCGTTCTCAGGCTGTTCGCTTGTCCTATTTCTTGTCTAATGTCCTCCCTGTAACGTCTGGAGTGCCCCAAGGTTCCATTCTGGGTCCTTTGTTATTCTTGCTTTACGTTAATGACCTACCTTCAGTTGTCCCCGATGTTAGTTTGTATGCGGATGACACTGGCCTTATCTGTTCTGATGCCTCCCCTGCACAATTACTCCTTACCATGCAGCATCGCATCAACAGCAAAGTCATGTGGATGCAAACGTGGAAATTCCAGCCCAATTCAGACAAGACAGAAGCCATGTATATTTCTTCATCCCCTCCTGATCAACCATTATACTTCCCTGACTCGACTATGCCTATCCGTGTTGTTACTCAGCACAAACATCTCGGTGTGATGTTTGACTGCAAACTCTCTTGGGGATCACATGTCAACTGTGTATGAAAGCGAACCAGTTCAGCATCAGGGGTACTACAACCACATTGCACTCATTTGCCCATCCAGTGTAAACTATTATTTTATCAGTGCTATATTCTCCCTATATTCGACTATTGCGATACCGCTTGGTGTTGCCTTTCTGACGCAACTCCGAATCAATTAGAAGTCCACCATAGATTTAAACTTAAAATTCTTTACAACAAGGATCCATGTTTTCCATCGGATGCCCTTTATCAACTTGCACACACTTCTCCTCTCTCCGTTCGTCATAAGCACCATCTCGGTACACTGGTTCATAAAATATTTCTTCATAAAACCCCTTCACACATGATGAAGTACAATTGGTTTTCGACAAGCTCAACCCGTAACGCGCTCATCCTGCCTCTTGTTAAGTCAGCCCAGTATCTAAAGTCCCCCTTGTTTTCCCGTTACTCTCATTGGTTAGCATTACCATACGGTCTGAAAACTTGTTCTTCTATTGGTCAGTTTAAAGATCTACTATCGCAACTGAACTAGACGCAATAATTATTATCGAAGAACATTCTCGAATACCTGAGTGATGCACGAATTTTGATTGTGCTCACTTCCGTTAATCGTTTTTCTTTGTAATTTTCCATTCATTTTTTGCTTTAATATTTGCTTCGTTTTCCTAGCGTGAGTGAAGTCAGTACTACTCCTGCAGGGCAGTTAGCTTTTTCGAGCTCCGTAGTTTTCGCAGGTTTTGTAGTAGCCAGCCGGCAGCAGGCCGGTCTGGAGAAGGGTAGGTACTAGGTAGTTAAATACATGTAGGTAGTAGTTAGTTAGAGAAGTGTATACGTATGTAGTATGGCTGCAAATATGTCTGCAAAAGGTAGTTCTAACCTAAGCCGCGGTTCAGGCACCCCCACCGCTTTGGAGTCACGTCGAAGGAAGGCAATCACCCCTCCCGCTGCCCTGCGCACAGCTACAGGAGGTTCGTACAGTGCCTCGTTGTCTTCAGGAAATCATGAGGCCCCCGTGGACATGATGAAGGAATTTAGGACGTGTATGTCCGAGTTGTTAGACGAACGGCTGGCAAACCTGGTGACACAGGTTGCAGACCTAACCACGGAGGTGACAGCTCTGAAGGCAAGACTTGGTGATCTGGAGCGGGAAAAGACGGACCTTGCCGCCACGGTACGGTTTTTGACAGACGACGCCAGCAATACAGCAGTGCAAGGCGGACCAGTTGGTGCACCATTGACCTCTGACGCGGCAAATGCAGGACCGGTAGTTCAACTCGAACCATACAACCTCTCCGACATCATTGCAGAGGAGGTTGAGAGGTCCAACCGTACTACCAGCGTCATAGTACGAGGACTGCCTGCATCATGGAATGAAACCCTATCCCTGCATTGCAGTACTCTGTTCAAATGTTCGACCTCTGACCTGCTGGAAGTCGAACGTTTGCGCCCACGCGCTACTGAACATGAGACTCCAGCGCCAGGTCCAGCTCCTGTCAGGGTACGCTTTGGAAACAAGCGCCTCAAGGCGTCAGCGTACAAGGATCGCCTTGGCCTGAAAGTGAATGGACATGATGTGTACGTCAACAACGACCTCACTCGACAACAGCAAACGAAGCGGAAGGCAGTACTACCGAAGTATAAGCAACTTCGAGCCAAAAAGGTCAAGTGCTCTCTGCCTTATGACGTCATATTGGATGACAAAGGGACACCTCTCTCTGACAATGCCATCCAGGATCTGCTGTCTGCCCAATAGGACATATCAGGGAACCCCCAGCCAGACAACCGTGCCGTCCTCAAAGTTGCTCATTTAAACATCT